GTATGCATAGTGTTATAGCCCTTTGAGCATAGCTCCAAATTGCTTTCCAGAATGGTTGGATAAGTTCACAACTTCACCAAAAATGCATTAGTGTCCCAGTTTTCCCACATCCCCTCCAATGTCCATTATGTTCCTTTTTGTCATATTAGCCAATTTGATAGGTGTGAGGTGATACCTCAGAGTCTAAATCAATAATGATTTAGAGTATTTTTCATATAACTAAAGATTAGCTTTGATTTCTTTGTCTGAAAACTGCCTATTCATATCCTTTGACTATTTATGAGTGGAGAAATGACTTGTATTTTTATAGATTTGACTTGGTCCTCTATATATTTGAGAAATGAGGCCTTTATCAGAGATACTTGGTGAAAAAAAATTTCCCAGTTTTTGTACTTTCCTTATAATTTTGGTTGCATTGGTTTTGTTTGTGCAAAAACTTTTTTGATTTTATATAATCAAAATTATCTATTTTACATTTTATAATGATCTCTATATTTTCTTTGAAGGATTTTTTTTAACAGAGAAGTGACATCACCATCCTGGATAGAATGCTGGATCTGAAGTCAGGAAGACCCAAAGGTTCAAATACAGCCTCAGACATTTACTAGTTGTGTGACCCCAGGCAAGTCATTTAACTTCTGTCTGACTTGATTTCCTCAACTGTTAAATGGGGATAATAATAGTGCCTACTTCCCAGGGTTGTTGAGAAGGTCAAATGAGATAATATTTGTAAATTGCTTAGAACAACGCCTGGCACACAGTAGGCACTTAATGTTTTTTTCCTTCCCTTCTTTCTTTCTTTCCTTTTTATCTTTCATACTGTGAATAATAATAGTCAGTAGTACAAGGCACAGTTTGGGAAGAGGGGAGTATAGAGGACCTCTCTGGGGACTATTACAGTAACCTGGTGCTAATGAGGGCATGTACAAAGACTGGCAGCAGTGGGGATTGAGAGGAGGGCATGTTTGCAAGGGATGCCGTAAAGGCTTCTGGTCTATTCAATTGACTACAAAGGTGCTATTGATTGTTTGCCTTCTGGGAAATATTTCTATTTTCATAAGGAGTTTCTAAAACATAACAACAACAGTAACAATAATTTAGAGGCACAAATTAATGGATAGAAGACTGGTCCAAGCAGAAAGATCCGTGCTCAAACACTGGCTTTGATAGTTTCTAGCTATGTGACCATTGGTGAGTCCTTTAACTTCTCCAAGTCTCAGAAAACTCTCCAACATGAGAAGTTCTAGAACTGTGTAACTGACAGTCACCTCATGCTTGTTCCATTAATAGTCCTAAAGCATAGTTCTGACCATTTCACTCCCCTAGTCAAGAAATTTTAGTAGTTCTCTCTTGGCTCTAAGATAAAATAGAAATTCTTCAGTCTGACATTTAAAGCCCTACATCAGAAGTCCCCACACTTCCCTGCATTCCCTGTTTGGGGACCTCTGTGCCACAACATTTTTCTGATGAGTTAATTAATCATCACCACTTGATTTTTCCATTGGAGTTGCCAGGTTTAGTGCTTTATATGTTCTGACCTCAGCCGATGGGACCTCCTCGGCATGTTAAAATAAAGTCAATTGAAATCTCTCTTTAAAATCCAAAAAAGATGGGGAAATGGGTGCAGCTAGGTGGCTCAATAGTTGGAGTGCTGGGCCTGGAGTCAGGAAGACTCATCTTCCTGAGTTCAAATCTGGCCTCAGACATTTACTAGCTGTGTGACCCTGGGCAAGTCATTTAAGCCTGTTGCCTCAGTTTCTTCATCTGTCAAATGAGCTGAAGAAGAAGATGGCAAACCACTCCAGTATCTTTGCCAAAAAAACCCCAAATGGGGTCATAAAGAGTCAGACATGACTGAAAAACAACCAAACAACAACAACAACAAAAATAAATAGGGTAGTATTTCAATAGGTAGAGAGATGGAAAGAGGGTCTATAGGGTGGAGTTGAAGAAATGCACAGAGACAGAAAAATATACACCCTGTTTTCTCACACACATACACATACACACACATGCACACACACCAGGTCTTTAATGTAATGACATAATGTCGTAAAAGCATGGAGAGCTCCAGATGCCATGCTAAGAAGGGTGGAGTTTATCTTGCAGTCACTGGAGAGCCATTGATGTGGAAGCAACATGAGACTGGAGGGTTGGAAACTAGAGGCAGGAGCACCAATCAGGAAGCTGTTAAAATTGTCCAGATAAGAGGCAATGGGGGGCCTGAAGTAGACTGGTGGCCATAGATGAGAGGAGGGAAGGGCTCCAAAGAGGCAGAATGGAAGAATTTGGTAATTAATTGGATAGTGGAAATAAGGGAAGGGAAGAACACAAAGATTCGGCCAATCAGCACATTGATAGTGAAGCAAGGCTACCACTATTTCTGGCATTCTTTGAGGTTGGCCATTATCATTCTGTGATGGCCTGCAGTGTCTTAGGCAAATCATTGGATCTCTGTTTTGTCATTTATACAGTGAGGGTGTTGGCTTAAGTGAACTATGTCCTTCCAGTTCTAACAGTAGATGAGATTAATGGAAAGGACCAGATAAGACCTTTCATTAGAGTGAGGTGGCCTGCCTATGGTGACCTGGTGTTACCAGGCATCCTCTTCCCTACATGTGCCCTCCAGGTAATTTAACTGTCTTTGGAAGTAAGGAAATCTCAAGTCTGTCACCATGTTGTCAAGGCCTAGGCACATAATTTACTGTTGAGGATTTGTTCAGGATGGTAGAGACTGAATCCTTGATAGAGTCTTTTGTTAAGTTTGGACTGGCTAGGAGGAAACCAATGCCCACAGTGGGTATTTTCTCAAGATCAACGCAGAAAAATCACTGACAAAGAAGGGACTTGGTCCTGACTTCCAGATCAAAGTTATTGAGACTGAGTACTCCTTTTCTTCTACTGATGTCCTTGTCATTCATAAGTTTACCCATTCCCTGTGCTCTCTGGGGCAATGGGTGTCTGAAGTAGTCCTTTCTCCCTATGGGGCCCAGACTGATCTTACCCTCCTTCATCCCTCGTGCCAAATGTGTTGCTTCTACCCCAACCATCCTTCCCTTTTTTTCTATCTCACATGTTTCCCCTTCTATCTTTCATCTTTCTCCTTCTCTCCAATCATATGGCTAACTCTCCAGTTCAGTTGTTCTTTGTTGCCTGGACTTTTGAAGTAGCTTACTAGTTAGTCTCTCTATGTCCCTCCAGTTTTTCCTATCATCAGTCCATCCTCCACACAAGTTGCCAAATGGTTCATCTTAAAGCCCCAGTCTGTATGTCACTTTTCTGCTCAGGAAGCTTCAGTGGCTCCCTATTGCCTCTAGAATAAAATGAAAACTGCTCTATTTGGAATTTTAAGAACTTCACAAATTGGTTCCAGCCTCTCTTTCCTGACTGATTTCATGTTACTCCCCATCATGCACCCTCATGTTCCAACCCATCTTGCCTACCTATCCTCTTTGTGTGAACTTCCTTTCCCACCTCTGTGTTTTTGCACGGGCTGTCTCTCATGTTTAGAATGTACACCCTTCCCCACCTTCATGTCTTGGAATCTTCTGCTCCCTTCAGTTTGGATCAAATGCCACCTTCCTGCATGACGCCTTCCCTACTCCCCTTCCTTCACTAGCCACAAACATTCATTTTTATTTATGTCATATAAGTTTTATATTTACTTATCTAGGTACATCTTATTTCCTCCTCAGTAAAATGTAAGTTCCTTGAGGATGAGTAATATTTCCTCTTTATATTTCTAGTGTCTCCACAGTGTTTTGCATGTAGTGGACACTTAATAAATACTCTTTTAATTGAATTGAAGTTGCTCAAGGTTTTAAGGACGCAGATAGTACTTGCTATTATTATTCAGTCATTTCCAGTTGTGTCCTTGGCAAAAGATATTGGAGTAGCTTGTTGTTTCCTTCTCCAGCTTATTTTACAAATGGGAAACTGAGGCAAACTGAGACTGGGTCACACAGCTAGAAAGTATCTGAGGCTGGATTTGAACCCCTGAAGATGAGTCTTCCTGACTCCAGGCCTGCATTCTATTCACTGCACCACCTAGCTGTCCCACAGAGAGGCCAGCACCCCAATCCCAGCTATCCTCAATGAAAGGTGTGGTCCAGGTCAGCAATATGATTCAGAGATCATCCTCCCCACCTACCCACCCAGCTGGATGCAGTCGTGAAGGGAGAAATGATTACTCTTCCCCTGAAAAGTCTGACTGGCCCACCTGCCACATGATAAATGACTCCCCCAGAATCTCTCTCTCAACAGAAGGTAGAAAGGTAGCAGGGAAGATGCGGGGACAGTGGAGGTAAAGGCAGGTGGGCTGGTGATATGTTGACAACAGCCCCCCCCCCGGCCAGGCTGAGGTCTACTTCAGAGAGAAGTGCCCTCCCCAGATGGTGGGTCCTAGTTACTACTCTGGACTTTCTTCTCTTAGCTGGAAATCCCCTCCTTAAGCATTCCCAGGGTACTTTGTCCCCCTACTTCCCACCTTATATTGGTATATGTACTTCTCCTGATCCCAGATAATATATGGACTCCTTGCGAAAAAAGAGAAGTCCAAATCTTTTTAATTTTTACATCCCCAAATGTTTAACACAGAGTAGAAACTTAATAAATATTTGGATTGAGTGGGACTGAATTGACATTCTGTGCTCTAAGATCTCTCCCTGATCTGACATTCCATGTTCTAAGGCCCCCAGTTCTGACAGTCTTTGTTCTTAATGATAATGGTCAACTTTTACAATGTAAAGCGCAAAATAGTCAACTTTTGCTGTAAAGTTGGCTAAGTTGTTTGAACTCACTATTGAATTAGAACCTCACTCCAATCCTGTCCAAAAGGCCTCTGAGTGTTATTATCCGAATTTTATAGATGAGGAAAATGAGGTTCCAATAAGTGGAAAGACCTGCCCATGGTTACCCAGCTTATAAACATCAGGCAGGACTTGAACCCAGGTCTTATTAACTCCTAATCCAGCACATGCTGCCCCCCACAAACCCATCACCTGTTTTGTGTTTTGGGTCGTTTGGAGCTCTAACGTGGTATGTTTTCAGGCCTCCTGACTCTGCCATTCTTCGGTTCTGTGGTGTCAGTGGTGTCTGATGGGCACCTAGCCGGAGGGAGCAGGAGGACAATCGGAAGGAGTCAGAAAGCACAAGGAGGCTGAGGTGGACGAATATCTACACCTCAAGGGCTAAAATTTCTTCACCATAGGCAGCAGAAAATCTCATGCCAGCTGCCCCAGAAGCAAGGCCTTAGCCCCTGCTGCCCCTCCCCACCCCTGCTGGGAATCAGGAGAATGGTGCCAGAAGGCTGGCCTCCTTCATCCACAACCTTCTCCCTGTGGGGGCTGTACCTGATCCAGGAACTTCCCAACAAAAGAGCTCCTTGGAAAAGCTTTTGCTCCAGCTGTGGAAGCCTCCCTTCTCATTGTGCCAAAAACAGGCAGAAACGGGCCAGAGCTTCCTTCAAGTTTTCCACTGAATGTGGGGGGAAAACACAACACCCCTCAATATGTTTCTGCAGTGATGTTTCCCCCTGCCCCAACCCTCAACTGAATTCCTTCTTCTAACCTTCTTCCAGCCAGCCCTAAAATGTCAGAACTAGGAGGGACTTTAGGGCATAGAATGTTAGACATGGGAAGAATCTTAGAACAGAAATTATTAGAGCTGTGAGGAACCTTAGAACATAGAATGTCAGACAAGGGAGTAACTTAGAACAGATTGTTAGAGCTGTGAGGAACCTTAGAACACAGAATATTAGACATGGGAGGGACTTCAGAACATAGAATGTTAGACATGGGGGGAATCTTAGAACAGAGTTTGTTACAGCTGTGAGGAATCTTAGAACATAGCATATTAGATGTGGGAGGAACTTTCAAACATAGACTGTTAAAGCTGGGAGGGTCTTAAAGCACAGAACGTCAGAACTCAAAGAATATAGAATATTCGGGCACGAAGCAGCCGAACTGGAAGGAATCCTGCAAATAGAATATGAAATCTCTAGTCCAACCCTTTCATTTTTTAGTGAAGGAAACTGAGGCAAAGAGAGTTGAGGAGACTTGTCAAAGGGGACACGGTGGTAGCAGAGCCAGGACTATCACCCAGGTCTCCTGGCTCCTGATCCAGTCATAAATGAGTCATAAATGAGTCATAAAATGAGATAACATATGGAAAGCATTTTGTAAACCTTAGGGTGCTATTAAATGTTAGGAGGAGAAGTAGAAACAGCAAGAGGAGAAATTGGGACTTGGAGTTAGGAAGGCTCGAATTCAAATTCTGCTTCATACACTTACTAGCTGTTTGAACCTGGGCAAGTTACTTAACCCTGTTTGCTTCAGTTTCCTCATCTGTGAAATGAGCTGGAGAAGGAAACGGCAAACCGCTCCAGTGGCTTTGCCAAGAAAACCCCTAGTGGGGTCACAAAGAATCAGCCATGACTGAAATGACTCAATGACAACAAACGTGCCAGACATTGTGCCAAGAACATCCCAAATGGGATCACAGAGAGTCGGACACAACTGAAGAACAACACGATGTTAGGAGAAGTAGGAATGGCAAGAGGAGGAATAGGGACTTGGAATTAGGAAGGCCCGAGTCTAAATTCTGCTTTATATCTTACTAGCTGTGTGACCCTGGGCAAGTCACTTAACCTCTGTTTGCCTCAGTTTCCTCAACTGAACATGGGGATACTAACAGCACCTCCTTCCCAAGGCTGTCGTGAGGATCAAATGAGATAACATTTCTAAAGTGCTTTGCAAACCTCAAGCTGCCATACAAATCTAGCTCTTATCAGTGGTAAGAGTAGTACTAGCTGCAGCAGGGTGTAATGGCCAGAAAGCTGGCCTTAAAGCTAGAATTTTTTGACCTGGGTTCAAATCCTACCTCTGACACATACTGGCCGTGTGAGTCTGGGCAAATCGCTTAATTTCTCGGCACTCTCAACCACTCTCCAAGACTAGAGGTTGCAGAGAAGGCTCCAACCTGAATTGGTAGAGGGTAGAGCTTCCTGTCCTGGGAATTTGAGTTCCCTATATTAATGAAATTAAAGGTCTAGTCCCCAGTCCTATTATTATTAATGACCTACTTTGCAGTTTAGCCTGGGATTGGCTTCAATTGTAGTAAAAATGCAAATAATGTCCCAGTCCAGGGCAAAGGAAGGGTTCTATTTAATAGAGCTATTCTCATGCCTTGGCCTTTGGACCAGAGTAATGATATTACTCCCTATCATTTTATAATTACATATCTTACCTCTAGAGAGTAAGCATGGTGTGCTGGGGAAAAAAAGGACCTTGGAGAAAGGCCCCAGGGAACAAGTTCAGATTCACATCTGGACGAGGGAAGCTTTGAGACCCTAGCAGAAGTATTATATATGTGGAATCTAGCAGCATCAGTCAGATTGGTTCAAATTAATTAAACTCTCTCTTTATCCCTTCAGTTGCTGGTGCCTCCAGCCAAAATTACTATACGTTGGGGCCCCCTTCAGTTCCTGGGAAGTAGAGACTTTCAGTTTTTTTCTATCACCTGATCTACTTGTGACACTCTGCTTTCTCAGCAGGGCAGCTTCTGAGAAATGTAGGGAGGGGTCAGCTACACTAATATAGTGACCGGCACGTAGTACGCACTTAATATATGCTTGCTGAATGAATGAATAATCGAATTAATTGATTAGTTGACCTTGGAGTTAGGAAGACCTGAGTTGAAGTTCTGCATCGGACTCGTACAAATGATGTGGCCCAGGGTATGTCACTCAATTTCTCAGTGTCCCCAGACAACTCTCTACAACTGTAAATTCCCAAGGAGTCACTGACCTGAATTGGTGGGAGAAGTTTCTTCCTCAAGGAATCTCCTCCACCTTTGAAATCAGAGATCCAGACCAAAACAAAAGCCTTATTTGAACCTTGTATCAACCCTATGTGGCAGACAGGGATTATTATCCCATTTGACAGATGAGAAAACTGAGCCTCAAAAAAAGAAATGATTGGTCCAAAATCATACAGTGATTTAGCCCCAAAGCCAAGACTACAGCCCACGTCATCTCATCGCTGACCACTCTTGGCTCTTTCAACTATATTGAGCTTCAACTTATTGAACATTTTGGTGATCCAGCCCTGGGGAATTACACACGATATATAGCTGTACACAACAATAACAACATTAATAATAGTATTTTAGTTAGTACTTTAAGGTTCAACTAATAGTACTTTAAGGTTTGCAAAGTACTTTATACATATTATCTCACTTGGTCCTCAAAACCACCACATGACATAGGGGCTGTTATCCCCACTTTACAGATGAGGAAACTGGGGCTGGGGAAGGTTCAATGATGTGCCCAGGGTCACATAGCTAGTGAGACAGGATTTGAACTCTGTCTTCTTCACTCCACATCCAACATTCTTTCTCCTTTACCACCTAGGGGCCTGACAAGCACTTCCTCTAAACTTTCCCCCTCCCCACTCCCACACCACTCCCCAACCATAAGAGTTGTTTTCTATCATCTTCAACCCAACCACATAAACTTAACACTCAGAAAGGACATCATAAATATCTAGGTACCCAGGACTTAGTTCTTAAACTCCACAATTCATGGAGAAATTTCAAGGGGTTCATGAATTTAGGTGGGCAAAAGAAAATGGCATCTTTGTTTTTACTCACCTAGAACTGAAATGTAGCATTGCCTTCAGTTATCTGAGAAGGGGTCCATGGGTTTCACCAGACTCTCGGAGGGATCCAAAATACCTCAGCAAACACTAAAAACCCATGCCCTGAAAGGAAGAACACAGATGTATGCCCAGAACCTCCCACTCTCACCCGCTAGATCCCTGTCACTTCTTGTCTACAGTTGAGCTAATTCACTGCCTAGGGATGACATGAGGCCTTGTGTTGATGGGGTTGGGATGTGGACCCCAGAGAGGAAAAACTCTGGATTTTCCCACATGGCCAAATCTCTGGCATTCACCTCACGCTATAAATCTATCAACTGGTCTTTCATTGTGGCTACATCCAATCTCCCAATTCTGTTGCCCTTAATCTAGCCTAGCTTCTCATTCTTTTACCTCCGTATGGCCCTAGCTATTTCCCACCCTTAATCCTAGCTAGGCCCCATTATCCCTTGGCCATGTCTCAGGTCCCCAGAGTTCTGTTCATCTCAGTTTACTGGCCACTCCCATCCAGATCCTCCTTAGATCCCTCCTCCAGTCACCCCAAACTACTCGGCCACTCCTAGATCCCTCCCACAGTCTTTCTGTATGTATGGTCCATCTTGTCTCCATTAAGGTGCTTGGATTCTTATAATCTAGCCATTGCTCAGATTCTTACAATCTAGCTACTAGCTCACTAATGTTCAGACTCCTTAAGAGTCTGCCCAATATGACAAATGTTCTAATAAACCTTGTCTTTGACTGAAAGAAGGCTTGGGTCAAAATCTTTCGGGCCGGATCCTCATGTTGTGATATTGGGGTCCCAGCACCCCTAAACTCCTAAACCTCAACAGTGTCATCTCTGGGTCCTCCATATTGGGAACAGAAGTCTGGTGGGAAAAGCCTGGGGCCAGTTATCTGGGGTTCTCAGATCTATTCTACCACCAACTGGCTGTGGGAGCTCGGGCAAGTTACCTGATTGGTTTTCTCCTCTATGCAGTGAGGGAGTGTTTCCTATACAATCTGTAAGGTCCCCTCTAAGTCTACACTCTGTTAACATGATGCTCAAATGAGATATTTGTTAAGAGTTTCACAAACCTTAAATCACCATAGAAATACTAGTTATTATTATTATTATTTTAGCAAAATATCCATTTCAATCAAATTGTATTACAACAAAATACTAGCTCCCTTTTCTATAGTGGTAAGTTATCAAGCACTTTTCTCACAACTCCATGAAGAAGCCCAAATATGTCCATTTTACAAAGTAGAAAACAAGACCAGAAATGGGAAGCGTATTTCGCAAAATCACCTGGCTAGTAAATCATGACAGGAGTTGGGGATTCAAATGCAGGTCTCCTGACTCCAAGGGCAGGTCTAGTTACCCAGAGACACACATACAATGGGTGATGTATGTGAATGGAACGTTTTAGCTGTCTGATGCCTAAACCATACCAGAGTACTTACAGCCTTACGGATGACATGCTTTTGACCATCCCTCCCCTCCCACTTTCCCCACTCCTTTTTACTATTACTCACTTTTGCCTCTTCTGACACTGTGTTAACTTCACACCTGCCAGGCTGGTCTGACAGCTAGAAAGAGAAAAATAGGCAGAGATCTCATAACTTCATTGAAATACATTGGATTAGGAGGGCTTTCTGGTCAGTGCTTGACAGCCAAGACAAGGTAGATTTGGAGAGAAAAACTAATGAGGCAGACTGTTAACTTCCTAAAAACACAGCCAATCAGGAGGTCTGTCAGAGCAGTCTGAGCAAATCAAAGCAGCTTGTTTATCTGTGTTGCTCTAAGGTTTACAGACTCGGCTTCCAGTAACCCTAGTTAGGGAGGCAGAGGGTGCAGGTATAATTAGCCCCTTTTAATAGATCCCAGATCCACCAGGCTGGCAAGCATCACAGGGAAGGACTTTAAACAAGCCTTTGGATTCCAAAGACCCATTTGCACGACAGCTAATGAGGAGACCGGAGAGGTTTGCATGACATACATTGGTGTTCACAAGGCGCTACCTTTTTCTCCAAAAGGCCAAAGAAGGACCGGTCCAGATCACACGTCTCCAACCGTCAATCTCACTGAAGACCTAAACTGAAAAGGGCCTGAGGACAAAAGGTTGAAGAGAGGGGAAAAAAAAAACCCAACACTCAATTTGGAGACAATGTTTGATTCAACTACTGGTTCTTCCACCTGTGTGTCCCAAGGCAGATCATTCACTCTGACTGAACCAGTTTTTTCATCTGTAAAATGAGAAGGTTGAACCATGTGGTGCTCCAGGCTTCTTCCACCTCTGTGATCTTCTTCATGTCAGGGTTAGAAAGGGCCTAAGAACCTAGAACATCCGAGCCAGAAGGGAGCTTAGCACATTGAACGTGAGAGACAGATCTTTAGATAGTATCAAGTTCAAACTTTAAAGGAGGCTGAAACCCAGAGAGGGGAAGCAATTTGTCGAAGGTCACACAGCAAGTTGGAAGAAGATACAAGACTCAAACTGAAGTCTTCTGACTTCCAGCCCAGGACTCCTTTCACATATGCTGGTGCCTTGATCTTTCAATTCAATCCATTTATTAAATGCCTACCACAGTGCAAGACCGAGGCAGCTGGGTGGTTCAGTAGATAGAGACTAGGCTTGAAGTCAAGAAGACCTGGGTTCAAATCTGGCCTCAGATATTCACTAGCTGTGTGACCCTGGGCAAGTCACTTAATCTCTGTTTGCCTTAATCCACTGGAGAAGGAAATAGCAAACCACTCCTGTATCTTTGCCAAGAAAACCCCATGGGCATTATTAGCATGCTATAGTCCACAGGGTCACAAAGAGTCGGATACAACTGAACAACGACAGCAATGTGGCAAGATGCTGTGCTGTACTTCCAAGCTCTGCCGACCAATTGATCATAACTTTTTTTTTATTTTGTTGCTATAGTTTGCTTTTATAGCGTCTTCATTTCCAAACACATCCTTTCCCTTCCCCTACACCCCCCCCCCCACTTATCAGGGAACCATACTTTATAACAAAAAAAGAAAAAAAGGAAGGAAAAAAGTTCAGCAAACTAGCACATAAAATCAAGGAGTATTTATTAAGCACCTACTCTGTGCAGGGCAATGTGCTAAACTCTGGAGACACCCAGAAAAGCAAAAAATGGTTTCTGCTCTCAAGGAATTCATAATATAATTGGGAAAATAATATGCAAACAATTATGTAAGAACAAGATATGGATAGATAGATAGATAGATGATAGATAGATAGATAGATAGATAGATAGATAGATACCCTTGATGTGATTATATATGATAAATGAATAAGATATATACATATATCTTGATATGATCATATATCATCTAAATAACATCTATTCATATCTATATGTTATTCATATGTATAAATATTACATGATAAATTGGAAATAATTTCAAAGGGAAGGCATTAGCATTAAAGGGGAATTAGGAAAGGCTTCCTATAGAAGATGGCATTTTAGCTGGGACCTGAAGGAAGCCTCGGGTGCCAGGAGTTAGTAATGAGGAGGGAAAGTTTTCCAGATATGGGGGACAGCCAGAGAAAATGCCCAGAGCCAAGAGATGGCATATCTTCTTCATGGAACAGCAAAGGAGGCCAATGTTAGTCGAATCTGTCAGTACATGCAATGTTCTGCACCCATTGACCAATTTATTATTCAGTATACTGAGCAGCTTACCTGCACATAGTAGTTTATGGCAAAAAAAAAAAAGGTACTCTGCATATATTGCATCATTTGATCCTGTCTGAACTTTAGAATGAGGCTCCTCTTGCCCTCCACATTACAGAGGAGCCCTTCAGAAAAGGGTGGAGAGAGGCAGAGCTTGCTTTTCCAGAGAAAGATTCTACAGACAGGTGTCAAGTGGACATAAGCCTGTGGATTTCTTGGAGGTAAATAAATTTAATGTGGTTGGCTTTTGTTCTCCTCTCAACATTTTTTCTTACCTTTCCAGGAGCTCAGGGCTTCTTACCAAGAACACAAACTATACTTCGAACGATGAAGTTAGAGAACTTAAGTTCTAGAAAAGAAATAGGTCAGATTAAAAAACAAAAACATCGTGGGGTAGTAGGAAGTGCACCAGGAATTACAAACAGACAATCTGGCTCCACCACTTGCTACATGTGGGAGTCTCTCTGAACCTCAGTCTCCTCATCTAGAAAATGAGGATAATAATAGTACCTCTGTACCTGTCATGTAAGTCAAATAAGATAACATGGGTAACTCAGTTGGCAAAAGTTAAAGCTATATATCAATGTCAGCTATTTGTGGTGGTTCTGATCTCATGATCTCGGCCCTGAGACAGCAGGCACGCCCAAGAGAAGAGGGCAGGGCTCAAAGGGTGCTGCGGAGGCCACCACCATGCCTGGCCTCGTGGCACAGAATCGTCATTGCCCAACTCTCAGGTGTATGTACTTCTCGACCCTGAACCCCAGGAGTAAAGCACAGCTTTACTCAGTCCATCGTCGACTACTGTCCATCCTCCAATCACTTGCCTCTTTGGAGGAAGGAAAGAAGGAAACAAGCATTTATTAAGCACTTACTATGTGCCAGACATTGGGCTAAGCACTTGACAAAAATTATTTCCCTGTGATGTATCTACTGTAATTATCTCTATTCATAATAACATCATAATTTTCATTATATAGTTGAGGAAACTGAGGCAAACAAAGGTTGAGTGACTTGTCCAAGGTCACACGGGTAGTAAGTGTCCAAGATGGGATTTGAACTTGGGTCTTCCGGACTTCAGGCCCAGCACTATGTCTACCGCAGTACCTAGCTGCTTCTTTGTGCTCTTGTTGGAAGGAACCCCAGCAGCTCTCTAGCCCAACCCATACTGAAAAGGATTCCCTGCTATAATATGCTTCACAAATGCTCATGTAATTTCTGCAGTGAGGAGGAACCCTCTACCTCCTAAGGTGCCCCAATTCATTTATGGGCCACTCTAATTGTTAATATGTGTTTCCTGACATCAAGCCGACATCTTTCATGTCCTGGTTCTGCTTTCTGGGGCTACATAAAATGAGCCTAATCCATCTTCCACAACACCGCCCTTCAAGTATACTTCAAAAGCTCCAACAGTTTGAGAGCCAAAAGGGATTTTAATTTGAGGTCATCTAGTCCAACCCTCCCATTTTCCAGATGAGGAAACTGAGACCCAAAGAGAATGACATGACTTGCCCAAAGTCACACAGGCAATATGACAGAATCGGGATTCTCAATCTGCTGACTCCAAATCCAGTGCCCTTTCCACTACCCTCCATGGCTGTTGACTGATAGATGCTTCTTTGAATGAATGAATGAAAAAAAAAACCCATTTATTAAGTGCATACTACACGCAGAGTACTGTGATATAAATGGAATTTATAATACCTGCTACCAAGAATTCCCATTCCAATGGGAGAAATAACACATAACTGATATAAATAAGTCTCAGAAAGGGAAAAAAATGATTTATCAACCTCTTCAGCCAGTACCTATGGAAGGTTTCAGCTGCAAATCCAGTAGAAAGGTTCCATGGTCCTTAGATTACAGTAGCAAAGGATATAGGAATGCCTCTTCTTTAAGGTCATTTCAAACTTACCAAATGATACCAATTGCTGATGTCGAACCATGTGACAGTGCCAAAGACTTTGGTGGTGAGAACATCCTTTTCTGGGTTATCAATAGCGCAGCTGCAGCACCTGCAGAAGCAATTGCCAGGCTATGTTTCCACAGGCAGTGCTTCCCAGAATGATGGCTGAAGGCTGGACTGGCAGCAGGACTGCTGACTGGGGGGGATTGCCCCTCCCAGATCTCCTGGGTTCATCTGCCTATTGCTGGCAATTGCAACCCCCAGTTGTTGCTGGGGGTGGTGAGGAAGGTGGCCTGCCTCTCCACAATGATTTCTCTGCTCAATGATAATGCTAACGTTGTGATGAACACTCAACCACCTTTGGTGTCCACCTGTCACCCGACTCTCACCTGTGGCTCCAAGAAGCTCTAGCATGCACAGCAACCAAACCCCAGTAAAACCATCTTGGCAGATGGGCTAAACCAAATTAAGGGGAACCTATGGGCCTCAAACCCATCAGTGAGTTAGGGGAATGTCTACCCCAAGCGTGGGAAGACTTTCCCCAGAAGAATGGGCAGATGAGAACAGTTTGTTCTAATGATCACGAAGGCAGCTGATGCAGGCCCTCTGGAATTCTTAGAGCTTGGTTAGACACGGAAGACCTCAAGTTCATCCACTAAGTTCTGGTCATCTCCAGGCCTCATTTGTCTTGCCACTGGACTTCGATGACTCTGGGAGAGTGAGAGTGATGACTGCGGGAGAAACTGCCAAAGGACAAACAACAAAACAATGTTGTGATGTGGTGCTGATTGATGTAATGCCTTAAGAGTGGAAAAACAGTTTACATACATTGTTTAATCTGATCCTTACAGTAGCCTTTTGAAGTAGGTAGAAGTGTTTTTCATTTTACAGATGAGGAAACTGAGATGAGGAGATTAAATGATTTGCCCATGATTATACAGCTAATAGGCACTGAAGGCAAAATTCAAATACGCTTCTTCCTTGCTCTAAGACCAATAT